AAGCGCTCAGGTCAACCATAGTGCACTGCTAACATTTTTTGGTCAAATCTACAGAAAACAGGTGATGTTTTCTTATATATATATATATATATATATATATATATTACAATGTAAACAAAATTAAATTCTCATTTATTAGAAATTATTTACTACAAAGATATTTTTCCTGGATAGTCCTTTTTTCCTATTCTGTAATATACTGTATTTTCATCATTTGTAGAAAAGCTGGTAAAGATGTGATAAATCCACAGGGCCTTCAAACACAGGTCATTATGTAGAATGTGCAAAACATACTGGGCTATATAGCCAGGATTGTAAGAAATAAGGCCACCCACAGAGTATAGAAGGGATACCTAAAGAGGTCTCCTCAGTGCATGGTGCCTGCCATCTGTGAAAAATTGGGGAACAGTAATTGACACAGGCCATCAGTTCTACCCAAGTGGGCCCACAGAGTCAACTCAATCCCAGGCAAAGTCCCAGCAAGCTATTTCTGAATTGATTCTAAAATTGATACAGAAAGTGGATTTGAAGAAAGCAGTGGGCTTTAATCGCCTAACTTTGAAACACACTATGAAGCTACAGTTATCAAGATAGTGTGGTATTGCTAGGTATCTAGTCAGATATCACCTCGTTACAAAGTTGTAGTCAGTAACTTAACCCAAGAATGGAAACTGCTGGACTCAGATTATTAGCCAGAAGAATAGAATTTGAACACTACCTCTGTACCTGGGTAGACTTGATGTTTAAAATGTCAAGAAAATTATAGGATATATGCCTCAACCTCCTGAAGGAGACAAGATTTCGTGTAGTTCTGGTTGTCTTCAAACTCACTTTGCAGCTGAGAATGACCCTGAGCTTCCTGCCCTTCTGCCTCCATCTCTCAAGTGCTGGGATTACAGGTGTGTGCCACCATGCTGGTTTTCATGTGGTTCTGAGGATGGTACCCAGGGATTTCTACATGGCAGGTAGAAGGTCTACCAATGGAATCCCATCCTCAGGCCAAGATTATTGTCTTGGAGGCTTTCAGGTAAAGAGCAAATAGGTGCCACTGTCTCTTAACTTAGGGAACAGAGGAAGGTAACAGGAAACATGTGTTATGAAAGTAGAAAGGGTAGACTGGGGTAGGGAGGTACGAGGGCTACGGGAGAAGGAAGGAGGAGTAACAAAAACAAATATGTTTTAAAATGCCTTCCTAATCCTATCGTTTGTACATTAACTTAAAAAAACAAATATTAATATAAATGGTCTGCCAAACACTTAGATAGGTAGATGGGTAAATGCCCTCCAGCCTCCAGGAAAGCTGTATGTTCCAGAGGCTTTTAATTAAGATCACAAAGTCTACCTCAACATGAAGGTTGGCACAGTAGTCTCCTTGGCCCTGTCCACTGTCATACATTTTCCTACTCAGTGTTCCCTGTGGACTTCATTAAACAGTGTCTGAGCTGGGCAGTGGTGGCACATGCCCTTTGATCCCAGCACACAGGAGGCAGAGGTAGATGGATCTCTGTGTGTTTGAGGTCAGCCTGGTCTACAAAGCAAGTTCTAGGTCAGGCTCCAAAGAAACCCTGTCTCAAAAAACAAACCCCTCTCCAAAAAAACAAAAAACATTATGTCTGCTCCACTAAAGGACCTGTCCAAAAAAAAAAAAGGAGAGGATGACCCACACACCAGGAGAGAATTATTTGCAAAAGATACTTTGAATAATGAATTATATAAAATATGCAGAGACCCAACAAAAAGGACACAAAGAGCTAATTTAAAAACAGGCAAAACTGGGCTAGAGAAATAGCTCAATGGTTAACAGTCCTGGCTGCTGTTGCAGAGGACCACATGGAGCAGTTCAGAACTCTAACTACAGTTGCAGGGAACCCTACATTATCTTCTGGCCTCTGCAGGCACCAGGCATGCTTGTGGTACCCTTACCTAAATGTAGGCTACACACACATAAAGTAAAAATAAATACATAAATGCATCTTCAAAATATAAGCAAGATCTCTAAATACACCTTATAAATAAAATATACAGGTAGGAAATTAGCATATTAAAGCTGGGCGTATGTGGCGAACGCTTTTAATCCCAACACTCAGGAGGCAGAGGCAGATGGATCTCTGTGAGTTCGAGGCCAGCCTGGTCTACAGAGCAAGTTCCAGAACAGGCTCCAAAGCAGTACAGAGAAACCGTGTCTCAAAAACCAAAACAAAATAAAATAACAACAAAAAAGAAAATTCGCATATTAAAAGACACTCCATCCACACTACCTGCCATTACAGAAATGCAAATTAAAACAACCAGTATACACCTATTAGAATAGCCAAAAGTATCAAAACACAGGGAGCACCAAATGCTGGAGAATATGGTAGACTAGACTTTATTAGCTTCTGGTGAGAACTCAGATTGGAGCTGTCACTCTGGAAGCCACACTGTGGTGTCAGCTTCTTACAAAACTGAACTTTCTCAAGTATTTGAGCCAGCCCGCATGTTCTTGGACACTCATGCATGCCTAAACCTGCACACTGGTACTTAGAGCTGTTTCTTTCCTAAGTGCCAGAATATTGAGGCAACTATTGTGAGACAGAAGACCCTCACTCTGTAATGACAAATTCAAGACACTAGAGACACAGAAGCTGATTTTATTTTCTAATTCTGTAGAAGCTGACATCAGCCTACAGAAAAGGCAAAAATGGCTAGCACACCTGACTTAAGGCACACAATGCTTTTTTTAATGACCCTGATCTCTAAAATTTCCTGCCTTGTCCGTCCCATAGTCTAGTATGCCAGTGAGCTACAATCTCCATGCTCATTTACCATACTCCCCACTAAACTTTCCATCCTAGTGGTTCAGGATGCAAAGCTTTAGTTAACATATATCCAGAGGTTTTCAATCTCCCCCTTTTGATTATGGCTTAGCTATATAGCAGACTCCTTGTAACTTTTCAACCAAAAACAACCTGGCACCAGTGGCCAGTTAGGGGAAACAAGGGCCTAATACCTCCTACATATCTGTGATTCTTTGAAAATGGATCAAAATGGTTTATTTCTTACAACCATGATATCCTTCAGTAGGTAAATAGATAATCAGCGGTGTATCCAGATAGTGAAATACTACATAGCACAAAAAAAAAAAAAAAAAAAAAAAAAAAAGCAATGAAATACCAACCATTAAAAGACACAGAAGTTTATTACTAAATGCAAGAAGCCCTATGGTGCAATCCCAACTCTGACATTCTATAAATGGCGAAACTATAGAAATGATGAAAAGATCAAAGATTGCCAGGAGCTGGGGGAGGGAGGGCTGAGCAGCTGGGGGAGGGAGGGCTGAGCAGCTGGGGGAGGGAGGGCTGAGCAGCTGGGGGAGGGAGGGCTGAGCAGCTGGGGGAGGGAGGGCTGAGCAGCTGGGGGAGGGAGGGCTGAGCAGCTGAGCACAAAGGATTTTTAGTGCAGTGAAACTGCCCTGTGTGATGCTGTCATGGCAGGTGCATGGCATTAACTACTCAGCCAAAGCCACAGAATGTACACCACCCAGAATGAACTCAGTGCACATGCTGGCATGTGGTTGATGATGTGTCAAATGTGAGTTTACCAGCAGTAACAACTGGGTGATCTAGGTAGAGGATGTTTGAAATGTGGGAGGCTATGTATGTGGGGAAGGTGTTAGGTGGGAAATCTCCGTACCTCCAACTCGGTTCTCCTGTGGACCTAAAACTGCTCTGGTAAATAAATGACTAAAATCTAGAAAAAGAATTGATCATAGGTTATTTCTAGGGATGGGGGGGGGGGGATGAACAAAAAAAAAAAAAAACCCAAAACTCGAGAGTTAGCTAATTCACCAATTAGACCACTAATTAGACTGTAGGAAGTGTCAAAGTCTTCAATTCCTATAACACTTCCTTTTCCCAGAGCCAAGAGAAGCCACTTTCCTGTTGACAGTGGCCCCCATCAGCAGCCCAGACTCTAACACACATGTTCAGCTCACCTTAACTAAACCTGACAGGTCCTTTCCATCCCTTACTCAAACATGGTGTTGTTTTTAAAGCATCCCTAAACAAAACATGCTAGTCATTAACTTGGTGTGTGAAGGCAAAGGCATGAATCAGCCTGTCTTAAAGACACACTTCTGAGACACTTAGTGCTCTAACTGTAGTTTAGGAGATTGAACTGTAAACAACGTTGCTCATGAGCACTGAGAAAATGAGCAGATGCGAACCCAATAGGACCAAGTACTTCCCATCTTATTTTTTGAGACAGGGTCTCTCACTGTACCTGGAGCTTACTGATCCACATGCTTCTTCCTCCCAGAACCAGAATTGTGGGTACACACTTCTGTGCCTGGCTTTTTACATGGGTGCTGGGCTCTGAACTCAGGTCCTCATGCTTGCATGACAAGCACTTTACTGACCAGGTCATCTCCCCAGCCCCTGTCTTTTTGATGATAAAAGGCTTAATATTTTAAAGCTTAGATTGTATGAATAAAACAAAAAAAACAAAGGAATGGCTGAGAACTACTGCAAATTCACTGTTCACCTTTAGACACTCACCCTTGTGGGGCTTTATTGAGTGTGTGTGGAGGTCAGAGCCTGACATTTGGCGTCTCCCACTGTTACCTTCCACCACATATATCAGAGACCTCTCACACTCAGAGTGTCCACAAGTCCTTCTAGACAGCTTACTCCTGCCTCACCCCCCATTTCTGTCTCCCTGTGGGTAGGATCATAAGCAGGCCACCACATTCACCTGCATTTACATGGGTGCTGGGAATCTGAACTCAGGTCCTCACGCTTGCACAGCAAGCATCTCCCCAGGTCAATTCTTGTCTTTTGAGAAGGGCCTCACACAGCACAGTCTGGTCTTGAAGCCATGACCCCGGCGTCTCTGACCTCTAGATAGAGGCAGGCATCCATCTGCTACATGCATCCTCATTTTTATTTTTAAAGCTCTTTCAGATCATTCCTATAAACGTTCCAGGTATTTGCAGTTTAAAAAACAGTCAATATTATTCTTACCTGATGTTGATCATCAGAATTTGGTGGACAGTTAGAAGTGACTGCATCACATTCCTTAGCTGGGGTGGGGGTGGGGACAAAAGGAACAATATACAGCTTGGTAAGAAAAGCATATACTCCAACCTAAGATCTAAAATTAATACTCAGAATTAAGAGCTGCCTTGACACCTGGTAAAACTAGGATGGATCTGAACGAGGACAAGTTCAGGACCTGACTCTTCTCTCCAGCTACACACTGTTCTTATTTGGAGAAGGGGATTAGGCATGATTTTGCTGATGTTGGAGAAGCAGGGTTCCTTTCACTGCCAACAAATAGAAATATTCAAAGAAGGCAATAGCCTTTCCAGAGGAACCAGAGACACCCTACCCTGTAGATGCCACAGAGCTTGCCTCTCACGGCCTGCATTCCCTTAACTGTTCGATGATCCTGAGTGCAAGCTGGTGTGAGTCTGTACACTCTGAGCTATCCTTGTTCCCAGGCTACAAATGTATGTGACTCTAGCTTCACCCCCCATTTCATCTGTTCAGGGCCAGGCACCATGTATTTGGCCAGCATCATTACCTTAGGGCAACATCGTGCCTTCAGGATATAGAGAAAGCAGTCCAAACTACTTCCTGGTCAATACAGTGGCCAGGTCTTGGTGAGAATGAATTATCTGTTCTCAGCTAACTAACTTCACTGGTGACAGCTGCATGGGGTGGACTTGAACTTAGCCTGTGTGGCTCACTGAGGCCATCTCTCGCCCCAGGATGCAAACTGTTGTTAAGTGGATGGAGAGAAGGGTGGTAGGTCACTAACTTATTCTAGCAGCGAGGGCATAGTACACTGGCTGACTGCTTCTTGGGTTCCATTAACCAAGGGGATCTTCTGGTGCTACCTGTACATGGTGACCACATGAGCCACCTGTGCCAAACATGATCTGTGAATGTACAGTAGCAGCAGCACAGGTGTGGTGTGGCATTTTGGTTGATGTGGCTCAGGGTAGTGACCTGCCTGTCCCTGCATTGCTGTTTCCCTTGACCTCTCAGGGCATGGAAGTGAGCAGGCCGGGCAGGCTGTGTTGATCAAAATAGAAAGGAAGCAAATTATTGGGTGTCCTAGCTCTCCCAGCCAGTGTGCCCATACTTTGCTCAGCATTGCTGCTCCCTGTACCCAAAGAGCAAATTTTGCCATCAGGGAGTTGGATAGCCCCACTCAGGCTACACACAAGAGCACTCAACTGGATGGAGTCCAGACCCCAAGAGATCCATGACTAGTCCAGGAGGAAGGACGATCAAAAGTTTGTTTAATTTGAGCATTCCTTACAGCAGGCTACATGCCGTTGATGCTCAAGTTATAAAATGAACATTCCAGACGCTGGGAGGAAGTGGCTCAGTACAGAGTGTTTGCCTAGCATGCACAAGGGTCTGGGTTTGATCTCCAGCATCACAATAATAAATAAATAAATAAATAAATAAATAAATAAATAAATAAATAAATAAATAAAGTGTGTATTCTGAGTGCTTAAAATAATAGCAAATTCCTTGGCTATGGATGTATCTCAATACTAAAGCATTTCCCAGGCATACATGAATGCTCAGATTCATAAACAACTAACAGAATCAATCTATATCACTTTTCTTTGTATTTTTATATTTTAAAATATTTTATTTCATTGTGATTTATGTGTGCATGTGTGGGTGCCTTCAGAGGCCAGAAGAGGGCATCAGAACTGGAGTTTCAGGCCATATATGGGTGCTGGGAGCCAAACTCAGGTCCTCTGGAAGAGCAACAATTATTCTTAAGCACTGAGCCACCACTCTAGCCCCTGCATCTTAAAGTTACCATGACATCCTTTTGAACAGTAGGAGAAAGGCACTCCAAAGGAAAGGAAAGGATTATGTTTTTGTATGCTTGTTTGTTTTTTCAGGACTGGGGGTTGAACTAAGGTCCTCACACATACTTAGAGGATTTTCTACTATTGAACTTGTCTCTGGGCTCCTTTTTTTTTTACTGTTTGGGGACAGGGTCTTACTAAGTTGCCTAGGAAAGCCTCATTCTGGAACCCTAGGCAGGCCCTGAGCTCTCCATCCTCCTGCCTCAGCCTCCCCAGTAACAGGCCTGTACCACCCTGCCAGCCAAAGATGAATAGTTTCCTTGATTTACATGAGGGCTTGTCTGTGTACAGTTGTCTCCTGCTGTGAATATGCCCTCAAAAACCAGAATTTTTCCCCCCAAACACATCTGCAAAAGTGACAGGAAAACACATCCTCTTTGGGATGCTCAGGGTAGCAGTTTCTGGGAGAAGTCAGGAGATTTGTGATGAAAATGTGGTTTCCCTGTGAAGAATTGGATCCTGAAACTTTAAGCAAAATAAGTCCTTTCTTAAGTTGTTTTTCTTTTTTTGGGGGGGCGGTCGAGGTTTTGGTTTTAGTAATAAGAAAAATAAATAATCCATTCCCCATGTCAAGCTCCAAGTGGAGCTGCTGGAGAAGGAGACCCACAGAATGCCCCCAAAATCCCTGAGCCTAGGGACAGGGGCTGCCTTCAGAGGAAGCTATGCCTTTGCTCCTGAAGAGAAATGGGTGTGATAAATCATATGCTGATTACTGAAATTACCCTAGATTTCCATATGACTTACAGCAAAACCACATCATTCAAAAGCATTCAAGCTTGGCCGCGTTAAAGAACAGCTCTAAGCCATGCGCAAGTAATATAGGATTCTAGTGACAGAAGAGTCTGGAGGCCTCTTCAACAGTAGGGAAATTGTTAAAGCTAATTACCCATGACCACTATATTAAGTAAACCAGGCACCCTCAATTCACTGGAATGCTGGAATTATAGCTGATACTTGATATAATTATTTTATATAGATTTCATATCCCTAAAATTGATTTCCTAAAAATTTATTTATGTATATATTTATTTATATATTTGTGGAGGCCCGATATCAATGTGAGGTGTCTTCTCTCCACCTTATTGCTTTGAAACACTGAACCTAGAACTCAATGTTTCAACTAGGCTGGCTGACCACTGAGCACTGGGGATTCTCCTTACCACACTGGCTAGCACTAGGTTTGCAGATTCAAATCCCCTTGCCTGTTTTATATGTAGTGCTGGGATCTGAACTCTGGTCCTCATGCTTATGCTTATGTAGCAGGCACTTTGTGAATCATATCCCCAACCCTTTGTTTACTCTTTGGTCAGCATATAAAGTAACAGCTTTCACTGTGGTACATTTTCATACATCATTATACTTTGTTGTTATTCCTCCTCAGGCTGTCCTCCTCTACTCCCCTCTCCTAAAGAACAAATTCCATGAGAAAATTATTGGAAACATCTTATGATGAATTTGTCCTCATTGAGGAAGATAAAGGAAAACACTATTAGATTGCATTATTACTGAATTCAGATTTTAAAACTTCTAACCAAGATTCATTTGCCTACAAGATGGTGCATTTATTTGGAGACTTAAAAATTATGCACTTTATATAAGGAAAAGTCTGCTACATGATTTCAAGGTCATGCCTCTCGTAAAAGCATGACAACTCGAACAAAAGATGTGTAAAGCTCGGATTTTAGGAGAAACCTGATTGTATCTCTAGTGTAGGATCAGGTTGCTAAGCAGTGATCTTTTCCTTTCAAAACAGAAAATCACATTCAAGGGCAAAGAAGAAAAGATCTTTATGACATGTATCCAAGTGTTCCCCCTTGGCCAATCTACTTAGAATCATTTGTCCGCCCCCAAACTGATTTCTGTGGGGTTTGGGCCAGCCTTCCCTCCATCTCCATTTAATGTTCATGCTCATTAGAATGTGGTCTAGAACCTGGATCATTGTTGAATTCTCTTTTTTAAAATGTGTGTGTGTGTGTGTGTGTGTGTGTGTGTGCGTGTAACAGACAGACAGACAGACAGACAGACAGAATATATGAATGAGTGTTCACATGGGGAGGCTTCGGCCTCTTCCTGGATCCCATAGTCACTCCAGGAACATGCACAGTATATAGAAGAGGACTGACACATTAATGATGTCATTTTAAGGGACAGGAGATCTTGGGGCCAGAGAGGAGACAGAACAGTGCCTTGGCTGAAACCTGGACATATCCACTAATGGCTCTGGTGGGAATCTCTTATCTATTCCCACCACCAGGGGACATATTATGAACCTAGGCAAGGGTTTTACAGGCCACCTCTGCACAGAGACCAGACAGCCAGGTGTCCTACCATCTCTAGAGCTGGGATGATCTGATTGTTCCTGTCCCCTCAACTCCACGTTGTCCACAGGGTACAAGGTCAATGTTGTGATATAACAAGCAGTATGATGGCTTAGCAGACACCCCACAGGGCCATGGAAAGCTAGGATAAGATCATTTTTTATCCTATCCTTGTTTGAACTTGAGGCTACAGGTTATAAAAGCCAACTTCGGGGGTGACTTTTGGGCCTGACAAGAATCCCTTGCTGTTTATCTGGCCACAAAACACTGCTGGGTTTCAGTGAAATCTATTACAGGCCTTCTTCCCCAGCCAGAGCCCAGGGCTCACTCACATTCCCTATCCTCTTGATGATAACACTGATTCAGGGATGGGCATGTGGCCCACTCTGCCAGCATCATGGTTCTGAGGAGGCCCCTGCCTGCCTCTTTCCTTCCTCAGCAGAAAGTCTCACCCCAAAACAAGGGCAGCACAGAAGAAAACAGAGCCACAAGGTCAATGGGCAGAGCCACAAACACCCTTAAATGTGTGGATCTAGAAGTCCCTTGAAGCCCCTGAGCTGACCAGTGTTTTCCTTCCTTCTTTTCCTCTCTATTTCTCCATCTCCCCCCCCCTTGTTTTTTGAAACAAGAGTCTCACTTTATAGCTCAGGCTGGCCTAGAATTTATGTAGTCCAGCCTACCCTTAAACTCCTAGCAGTCTTCCTGTCTCAGCCTTCTGAATGCTAGGATTACAGGCATGAGCACCCAACTCTTCCCTTCCTTTTGAGCAAATTTGAGTCAGTTCTATTACTTGAACACAGTACCCGGCTGGCTTTATTTCTTGCCTGGCAAAATAAAATTTATAATCTGGTATAAAATGATTGACACATTTTAATAAAAAAAATCATTTCTGAGGACAATTGTGTAGCCAGTCTCAAGCTAAGCTATCGGTCTATTTCAGTTTTACCATCTTCAATAAGGAAAACTCTATTTTCAACAGTGCTTTGTTCCAGATACTCAATTAGTCATGAGTTAAAGTCCTTACATTAACTGTTCTTACCTTTAGGGAGGCCGGTGTCTTGAATGGGATACTTGTCTGACTGTAGAAACGGACAAAAGCAGAGTTATTTTATATGTCAGCTCTGAGATCAAAGTGAAAAGAGAGCTTTGTGTTGGGTTTCCGTTTAAAACGTTGGAAGTGGACTAGAGGTAGCTAGCTCATTGGCAAAGTGCTTGCCTAGCATATAGAGGCCCCAGGTTCCATCCCCAGGGTGGCAATATAAAGCAAAACTAAACCTTCCAGGTCTTTAGCCTCGGGCTTATCAGCAGGCCTGACTCACTGTTTTTCTTCTGAGCTGATAGGAATGAATTCAGAGTCAACAGGTTAATGTTGGAACATGAAACAGAATAATCCCCTCTTAACTTCCTTGGCTCTGACCGCTAAACCACACTTCCTCCCTTCTGAGCTGTGCTATTCTTCCTCTCAACTTCCTGCGGCCTTGTGCTTAGATTTTTGTCTTTGTTCATTCTGGCATATTTCTTCTTGCCATTTCTGTGACAGTTATTTGGGTGGACATATATGTGTTCTGGGCAATATTCACTGTTGTAGGACTGTTTGAATCCTGGGACAGTAGTCCATGTTAGATATTTTGAATGCTGGAAGTTAATTAAAATAGATAGTATCACAAGCGGACACCAGACAAAGACCCAGGAACATCTAAGAAGGTCACTTATGGTATGCATGAAGCAAGAAGAGGATCTAACATCACTTTGTGGCTGTTTCAGAGGTCTCACGTAGCACAGGCTGGCTTCAAGCTTGCTATATATAGCTGAAAGTGAATTTAAACTCCTGATCCTCCTGCCTTCACCTACAGAGTGCTAGGATTACAAGTGTGTACCACCTTATCAGTCTATGTAGTACTGGGGATCAAATCCAGGGCTTTAAGTATGCTGGGCAGGCACCCTGTGCACTGAGCCGCATCCCCAGCACAGGCTCTAACACTGTTTTTGGCCTGGAGATGATGACAACACAGAGGATGCCATGAGAAGGAGGTATATCTTTGGGAAATCTTACTCTGGGGTTTCTGAGATTTCCTGGAAATGCTTGGTAACTACAGTGTGATATAACAAGGCATAGTGAGTCAAAGTAAAAATTGCCACCTACCATGCCAAAGGATAAAGTGCTGGGGTCTGTGTCCTCCACTGGCTCCTTTGCCATGTGATCTGGGAAGACACAAAGGGACAGCATTGTCATTGAGACAAAAGCACAAATGAGGTCTTCCCTGTCGTTTTCACATATGAATGAGCTTTCTTTTCCAGGCAATATAAATGCACTGTCAACTATTTCTGAGACCCAAAGAGACCTGTGCATGTTACTTCAAAGAAGAGAGCAAGGAAGAGAAACAGAAAAAAACAAAACTATGGCATTCAGGACTTTGAAACAAACAAATATAAGTTATTTATTAATACGTTCAAATACTGGGAGTTACAATCAATCTCAAATTATACAAACTTAATATGGATCCCCACAAGTATGCACATGTATGTTAGGCCAAGGGACAACCTGAGGTGTTGTTTGCAGCAGTCATCTGCCTTCTTATTTTGTGAGATGGGTTCTCTCACTAGCCTGGAATTCTCCAAATAAGAGAGGTTGGCTGGATAGCATGTCCCAGGGATCTGCCTGTCTCTGCCTCCCTGGTGCTTAGATTGCAAGTGTGCTATACTGCACCTGGCTTTTGTACATTGATTCTGGGGATCAAATCCAGGTCCCCATAGTTGCAAGGCAACTGACCAGACTATCTCCCCAGCTGCCAACAATTCTACCTGCTTGATTGGGTGTAACCATTTAAGGGTTTTATTCTGAATTCTGTAGATTTATTTATTTCCTAGTCTCTGTAACTTGCTTTAAAAAAATATATAATTATTTTAGGGGGCTGTAGAGATGGCTCAGTACTTAGGAGCACTTGGGGCTCTTGCAGTTTGGTTCCTACCACCCCCTTGGAGGTTCACAACCATTTGCAACTCCAGTTCCAAGGCATCTGACATCCTCTTATGATTTCTGCAGCATACACAGAAAATAAAAATTCTAATTTTTAAAAATCACTTCAGAATATGAAGATTGGACTGAGGAGGTGGCTCATTCGATAAACCATTTGCCATGCAAGCATGAGTTTGAATCCCCATAACCCAATAAGCCAATTGGTTATAGCTACTGTCTGTAATCCCAGCCCTGGAGAGGCAGAGATAGAGCCCAGAGCAAGCTGGTTAACTATACTAACTGGAATTGGCAAGCTAACTGGAATTCAGCAAGAGACCGTCCCCCAATAAACAAAGGGAGACCCTCCCTCAGTGAATATGTTCAAAACAATGGAGGGTGGTTCTCAACACCAACCCTGGGCTTCTACATACATACATGTGTACATGTACCTGTGCCCACACATGGAAAAAAATGTATATACACAATCATGTCACACACACATGGGGGAAAATAGCTTACTTCTGAGACAGACTGAAATGGTCTAGAAAAAGTATGCATTAACACTTGCACAAGGATTCTCCTATAATTTAAAAAAAAATCATACAAGGGAAAATAAACAACTTTCTTTGTTTTGATGCTAAGTAGCTATGATTCCAACACTTGGTAACTGAGAAACAGCAGTGCTGGCTGGGAAAGGAGCAATGTCACCCACAGCATCGCTGAGGAGAAAGCAGGTATGTTAAAAGAACAGAGCACCAGTCAGCTGTGGCAGAGGCCTCATCTGGGTTCCCATTGACTGTGGGTAAACCTTGAGGTGTGGCCTTGGGGGAGCATCTGACTGCCCTCAGGTGAGGTGAGATGTTGGTATTAGATCTGCTTTAAGCTACCAACACCTTGGAATGTCCTCTGAGACATGAGCTCATATTCAGATCCTCTGGTCCCTGTATGCCACATGGCCGATGATCACTATTTGGGCTAGACATGGAGGTCATGCTGCAGGCTACCTTCTGCTCCTCAGAGCCTCCCGACCATCTGCGATAGCAGTTGGGTCTGAGGGAGCTCACTGCCAGAAAGACTTTGGCTGCTTTGCTTTCCGAAACACAACAAGGTCCCAGAAAACTCAGGAAAGGTTTGTTGAGAACTGGGTACAAGAGACATGTTCAGGTTTTTTGTTGTTATTTTTTGTTTTGTTTTGTTTTTTGAGACAGGCCCCCACAGAGTTCAAGCTGGTCTTGAGCTTTCGATGTAAGGGAGAATGCCCTTGAACTTCTGATCCTCATTCTGCCTCCTCAGTGCTGGGATGACATGTGTTTGTCATTACTTCTGGTTTTTGAGATCGTGAGGATGAAACAGGGTCTCATGTGTGCTAGGAACACACTCTCCCAGCTGAGCTACACCCTCAGCCTCTGCGTGTCTTTTCTTATTTTCACTCTAAACACTTGGCTGCCCTGGCCTTTGCTATACATGGGGCTTTAGATCAAGCTCTTATTCATATGTCTGTCAAATGCACTCACAGACCTAGGTCCATGGTGCCCCACATGCTACCTCTGATCCAGTGCCTTCACCCGGCAGCTGTTTTAGGTCAGACCCAGCTGCTTTTGTTCTCACAGGCCCAAAGCTGTGTGTGCCAAGGAGGTTGGGGGGGGGGTGTTCCTGGTTATTTGAGACAGATCTAGAAGTAGAAAGTTTTCTAAAAGCTATACCTGGAGGCCTTGAAGTTGAATGTTTACAATATGATTAAGTATAAAATCAAATCATTTATCTAAAGCTTGAAAATGTTTGTTTTTACAAGCCCCAGGTATCAGCAGGTTGAGCCCACAGGCAAAGCTCCAGTGCCAGATGGGATGTGAGGCACCAAGGGGCCTGAAACAGAAACGGGCGGGGTTTGTGAGCCCCAAAGAGGGCATAGCTAATAGTTCTTCTCTGGGGTGATGGAGACATTCTCCTGCCCCCAGCTTTCACCCACTGTCTGGCCAAGTTTCCCTCCCACAGCTGCCTCAACCACCTGGAGCAAGTTCAGATCACCGCATAGCAGCTGGCAGCTGCCTGACACAGTAACTGATGCTCCACCCTCACAAGCACCTTCTAGAGAGTTCTACCAGGCTCTCAGCACTCTGATTCAAATCAGAATGAATAGACTATGCCATCATTTAAAATTTCTGGACCACATTAGCCTGTAATGTCAGGAGCTAAAGAGAGCCAGGTGTGATAGCATATATCTGAAATCCCAGCATTCTGGAAATGGAAGCAGAGGGTTCACAAGTTCAAGGCCAATATGGACTACATAGTGAGCTGCAGATCACCCTCGGCTACAGAAAAATATTCTGTTTCAACAGTGACAACAAAAGAACACCTATGTCCCTTCCCATATTAGTCTGTGACAGTGACTATGGGAGCCCGACAGTGAAAGGCATCTTTTTAAGCTGAAAGTCCCTGGCCCTACCACCTGAAGTAAAAGCTAGAATGTCTCCTTCCCTCACATCCACTCCACACTGTACTGCATGTATGGGCTCTGTGATATCTTGACATACATGTGTTGCTTTCTATCTGGCTTCAAAGTACCTTCCCAAGGCAGCCAATCTGACCTCCCGACCTCTGTCTAGGAGCTGTGCATCAAAAGCTCTCTGCACTACCTCCTCTGATCTTGTGTTTGAGAAGGGTCCCAAATTGGAGAGGGGATAGGGACAGTCCAGAATGTGAGCTGAAGCCTCACTGGAATCCTCCCTCAGTCAGCCTCTTTGTCAGGCCATATTTTCTACACACAGGGTCGTTCAGGCTTCAATCAAGTCCCTGCAATGAGACCTCCATATAGATTCCATATAAGAAAGAGAGATGGCTCAGTTGGTAAAACACTTGCTTAGCATTCACAAAACCCTGGGTTTGATTTCTAGCATTACATAAATCCTGTGTAGCAGTGATGATTATAATCACAACACTCAGGATGTCGAAGCATGAAGATTAGGAGTTCAAGGTCATCCTTTGTAGCTAGCTCAAGGACAACCTGGGCTACTTGAGATACTATCTCAATTAAAAGAATAAAAAAAGAATTATTTCAAGGAGCTTGTGGTCAGCCGAGCACAGGGGCACCTGTGTGGATGGTGGCACCCAGAGGGGGCTAGGAAGCTTCTTTCCCCACACCTCACTCTGAGCATTTGTCTCTATCTGTGTCCTTTATAGAACCCTTCAAGGGCTTGGAAGAGGATGGATGGCTCTGTGATACAGCACTGGGTTCCATCCTCAGCACTACAGAAACAAACAGAAAAAAACTAGTAAAGACTGGTAATCAAGCCTCAGAATTATCAGAAGCACAGGTTCACCAACACAGACGTGCAATCTTAGGGGAGGTGGCAATCTTGGGGACAAGCCCTCCACCCAGGAGGTCTTCCTCCACCACCTTGTAGTGTCAGAATTAAGTTGGACGAGAAGAACCTCTGCTGGTGCCCACCAAAGACCTGCTTGCTGAAGAAGGGAACCATGCCTTTCATGGCCACATAAGTGACTTATGTGAATGAGAAAGTAATGAGAACTCCCCCTCCTCCCAGTGTGTGCTCATACTCATGGATACATGGAAGAGGCAAGCTTTGAGTCTGACACCTCAAGCTTGGCTGGTTTCCTAGCACGAGGCTTCTAGAAGGTCATTCAGGCCTCTTTACCAGACATACTCAGCTGGGGACGTCCTCATGTTCAGACTTGTCCTATTCGTTTATTTTCAATAAAGCTTTTCCTTTTTAAAATTTATTTGATGTATGTGTGTTTGTACACAACTTTGTGGAGTTGTCCTTTCTTTTTATGTAGGTCTAGGGGGTCAAACTCAGGTTGTCAGGCTCATACACCAAGTGCCTTTACCCCCTGTACCATGTCACTGGCCCCGTTTCTCCTTTTTAGAAACAAACATCATATTGGTTAGCAGTCTGCTCTATGACCTCAACTTAATGAGATTACCTTATTAAAAACTCTGTTTTCCAAAAAGTCTTAACTGGGTGTTAAGACTTCAACATAACCTTTTCTGGGCTGCTGGGGTTAGAACTTAGGGTCACAGTCCACTCCCCATTCCTATCCTGCCCACTTGCAGAATACCCACTCTTCCCCAAGCCAGAATCATTGTAACATTGACTCTAAATCCAAAACTCCATCCACTCAACCCAGAGATGTAACTTCCTCACCTCCAGAGTCAGGGGGGAGCACTTGGCACCCGGAACCTCTACAGGAGGAACCTGATGCAGCCGCTCCACATCTCCCTTCTCCTAGCACATTCTGGTCCTAAGCAGCAATCTGTCCCAGAAGGTTTAAATATCCCCAAAGACATCTACTAGAGAAAATAAAGAGGGAATCGTGCTCAGCTCCCAGTTCCCCAGGCAAGAGCGGGCCCTTTGTGTGTTCCAGTGCTGAATGAAGGCAACTCTTTGAACTTGGGATTTCAGAGGTAAGTTTTTTTTCTCCTTTTCTTTCTTTCTATTTATTCCCCACCTCCAAAGCTTTCTCTCACCCACAGCTGTTTTCGTTCCTGCTTGTAAAAATTCAGGATCACAGACACTCTCAAAGCCGCAGAAAGGCTGCCTTTGGCATAGCTGCCTTCTCTCTCGCCTGTCATGTGACTGAACTAGCTGGGGAAGGGGCCTGTGTCAGACAAGTGTGTTCCTATAGGGTCCTTGGAGAATGGCCTTCCCTACTGACCCGGTGACAAGAATCAAACTGATCAGGGAAGAGATGAAAGGATGGGAGGGGAGAGCCAGAAGAGTATAAGAAAAGTTAGGAAGCATTGTAAATAAGAGAGGCAAGTCATCCTAGATAATTGCAAGGCCGAGGCAGGAGGGTGGAAAGTAGAAGGCCTTCTGAACTACAAAGTGAATTCAAGGTTGGTATGCAACTGAGTGAGACTCTGCCTCAAAACGAAAAGGAAACAGAGGACTGGGATGTAGCTCAGTGATAAAGCACTTGCCCAGCAGGAGCAAGGCCCCAGGTTCCATTTCGGGTACCCCCAGTACCCTAACAAAAGGAAAATGAGATGAAGGACACATTGGGAAACACCACAGAGGAGGAGATGGGAAAATGAACAGATGCCCACCCTCTCCATTCTTGCTCCCTGTGGAGCCATGGAGAAGTAGCAGACTGGACCAGCTTTGCACACATGACTGATTCTGGAAGTGGATTTAGCCAGGACTCATATATACCTATAGCAGGGTGAGGAAGGGCTGAGGACAGGTGAGACACCTCCAAAAGCACAGTCCTAGGCTGATAGCTAGGACCTGGACGAGGGCTTCCACAGGACATCCAGGTTATACAGAGAAAATGGGACCTTTCCCCGAAAGGGAAAGCTACATGACTGTACTCTGCCAGCGTGGCATTTAGGTAACAAGGTATCCCACCTCCTCACTGGGTCATGCTTTATTAGTCCTCAATATCCAAATAAACATGCATAGCCAGATTTTAGTCACACAGACAGACAATGGTAGACCTAGAAACAGTGAGAGGAAGGTTCTGGAACAGCCAAGAGAGTGATCTTGGGCTGGGCTGGGTCATCTTTCAAGCTTGGAGAAATAGGAGGCTCAGACAGGGAAGGAAGGGTGCAGGAGCTTTGCCGGCAGTGGAAACAATCTTCCCTAGGGCAGGGGCAGAGGCCAGCAGGCACATACAGTGGAACTTTTCAAAGACTAGAAAGGAGGCAGTGTGGCTGTCATGCCAAAAGCAAGTGACCAAAGGTGTGGAAAGGACAGGGAAGAGTGTAGCAGGATGGATGGTGGGTCTGAGAATCTGTCCAGAAGTGAGTCTAAGCAGAAGGGTGACAGATGTGACTGATTAAGAATTCACCCTGGCCATTGACATGAAACATGCACCAGTGTGGGGACTCCAGCTGGGAGGCCAGTGCGGAAAGGCAGGAGAAAGCATGGTCTGAGGTGGAGAGCTAAAATCTTCAGTCAACCAGCTCTACGCACCAATACCACATGTGTTCACACTTCAGAAATGGAAGGGCCAGGTGGGGTGTCTGGGTGGAAGTGCCCACGTGTCCAGACATGTATTACACGGAGAAACCTCTTCGACTGACAGATTCCCAGAATGGGAAAGGATATTCTTAATATCTCCCAAGCCTGGATTTGTCTTCACCATTCCCTGCCAAAGGGATCCCTGAAGGAGGCCTCCTTCCCCTTTGCAGCGAGCCCCAGTTCAGCTCTCCCTGAAGAGTTCACCTAGAGATGTGGGTTCTAGCTCATGAAGTGAGAAACACACAGTTGACAGGACACCTTCTGTTCACACCATTCCACACATACAGAGAACTGATGGCCCCTTTACTGCAAGTTTTGCGCATCCATTCTATATGGGCCAAGCTAATTCAGACTATAGCTGCAGTTCTAATCCTAGACCATATATCTAACCCCCCACAAACATGGCTTTATGTGTGGGGTTACGTGTACATGTTCATGTGGGTATATATACATGTGTGCAGGTGCTCATGCTTCTTTGTATGTACAGACTAGAAGTCAACTTAGGGTATCTTCATTAATTATTCTGTTGTGTATGTGTGCATGTGTGTGTGTGTGTGATGCATGTATACATGTGTGTACAGGCATATGCACCTGTGCATGCATGTAAGCTAGAGGAAGATGGCAGGCATCCTGTTCTCTCATTCTCTACCCACTTGAGACAGGGCTTCTTACTGAATCTAGTGCTAAGCTGGTAGCCAACAAGCCCCAGGGAACTTCCTGTCTCTACCCTACTCTCACAGCCCTAGGGTGATAGGTATGGGTGCCATGGCTAGGCTTTTGTATGGATGCTGAGAATTTAAACTCCAGGTTCTCACACTTGAACAGCAAGCTCTCTTTACCCACACAGCCCCTTACCTGACCTCTCTCCACATTTTCTTTGAGACAGGGTCTCTCACTGAACCCGGAACACATCAGTTTGCTTTGGCTGGCTGGTCAGTGAGCTCCAGGAATCTGTCTGTCTGTCTCAAACAATCCTCCCAGCACTGGGGTTACAAATGGGTGACACCATGGCTGACTGTCGATGTGGGTGCTGGGATCAGAACACAAGTCCTCATGCTTCCTTGCTTGGCAGGCTCTTTACTTTATTAACTGAACCATCCCATCAGCCATACCTGAGGCTTTTTACACTGATGTCACTACTGAACTTGTTTCCACCCCGCACTTTCTTTGGTGCCAGTGATGTTGGGGTACAGCTCAGGCAAATGTTAGCCATATCTTCATCTAGTAAATCCTCTCTCTCCATCTTTTAAATTCCCCCCATCAGTATCATTTAATAAGCCTGGGACCATTATGACTAAAATTATCCCCAAACACCCCTTGGCACCTTATCAATAAAGTTCTCAGCATAGGCAGGGTAGTGTTAGGAGTAGGTCCGGGATGAGAGAATTGTTCCCTTCATTTCCCATTCTGTTCCTACAAACGATGGGAGGGATGGCCAATTCATTACAACTGATAGTCTGTTGACCATGCCACACTTGAATAATTTAGTTCTTTCTTCAGTGTCACCAATAAACAGCCCCCTCCCCTAATCAGCCCTTCAAGATACCAATGTGGCCTTTGGGCTTAATCTTCTGGCCACTACCAGATACATGGTGTCAAGCCCCTAATAAGGCTGAACAGCTGAACTCTGTCCCTGCTCCAGCTCAAGAAATGAAATACGAAACACAAGCAGTCACATCAATCCCAGCAGTCCCAACTGGTCTGGTTCTGGGTGGCTCTCACCAAAACTTCCAACCTCAACAAAACCAGAGAGACCCAGTGTACTCTGAGGGACACATCATCCATTCATCATGCATGTCCCACAGACACCGATGAAAGATGAAGTTTTTAAGCTAGGTTGCAGGAGAACAGAGGGGATCCTTGGAAGACAAAGTTTAAAGGGAATTCTAACTTAAATGCATGTAGGGAGAAGCGATAGAAAAATCTAGATGCTGGCCTCAGGCACAACGTTTTTATGTACTAACGGGACTAGAGGGCTTCTCCACAGGTGGAGACTGCCACGACCTCATGGCTCTGTGGGTAGTATAATAGTTTATAGAGCGCAGAGAGGTGAGACAAACAGAAGCAAAACCATCTCAGCAAAGTGGAGCCAAAAGGGAGAAGGAGGATTAAGAAGGTGCATGAGTGGCCAGCAAGGCAGAGTTTGGGAGGGGGCGCAGAATCCTCCTGTGTTCTTTTCTGCCAAAGGTTGGCTGACTTGTTTCAACCTGGCACCCGCGTGGCCCAGAACAAAAGCGCTCGCCTGGGCCTCCGCGTGGGGAGAGGCACTGAGCACACCTTACAGTGTGCAGGAGGCAAGCAGGTCAGGGGCCACTCACAGAGGGGGAAGCACAGGTGTGGTTTTGTGAGAGATAGGACAGAGCGCCACCACTGTCCCCATCCAGCCTGGCATACATCTGGAGCAGGTACTGGTGTCCTGAAGCGCTCTCAAGGGTGACTGAGGTTCAATATCAAGAACCTTGCTGGTGGTCACGCTCCAAGCGTGGGCGCGGCAAGGTACCACTTTACCTGAGCGCAGAGGGTCATCCGGAGAAGCCATGAAGACCGAGAAACGAGTGTCCGAGCCGGGCTGAGCAGCCTCTGGGACCCCAGAGAACAGCAGGATCTCCGGGACCCAATCTCCTGCTGTGGCAATGAGCGATTCTAAGGCTCTGCGGGCTGCCGTGCTGCTGCTCCTTCTCCTCTCCCTCCTCCTCTTGATCTCTGCCACTTCTTCCTCGTGCTCACTTCCTGCAATTAGCAAAAGCCCCTTCCCGGCGCGAGCCTCTCTCCTGAAGTCTGGAGAGGATCCCGTCGTTGCGGTTGAGCACAAGAAGACCGGCGGGGCCCGGCGGGGCCCGGAGCACGTGTCCTGCCGGTACCTAGGACCCAGTGCGCACTTCCCACGACCGGGGCACACGCGATCGCAACTGGAAGGGCCTTTCAGCCAATCTTGCACCCGCTGCCACACGCGCGGGTGGCTTTCCTGGTTCCTAGGACACCAAAGCGCTCCCAGCGAGCTTCTTGCACAGGCCCGGGCTGGGACGCCTGTCGGCGATCTGATGTTTGAACAGTTTCCTAATCTTCAGGCAGCCTGAACGGCTGCATGACCGCACACGCTAGCACTTTCTATTTTGATGTTTCTTTGGCATTGGTTACTGCCTGACCTCCTGGGTGAGCGCTACACAAAGGATCGGGAAGAAAAGTCAGTAGCAAGGTCTCTTGCTCACTCCTCTGGAGAGAAAAAAAAGAGAAAGAAAGAAAGGAAGAAAGAAAGAAAGAAAGAAAGAAAGAAAGAAAGAAAGAAAGAAAGAAAGAAAGAAAGGAAGGAAGGAAGGAAGGAAAGAAGGAAGAGAAAGAAAAAAAGAAAACCCAAAGTGTAGAGTTCTGTCAAAAATGCAGAATCCACTGGCTCTTGAGCGAACTGAGATTTAGTTTAAGTGGGTTTTTACGCTAAGTGGACAGAGAATGTGATCGTTTAAGGTGGCTATATTTCTATATCTTATTTTAAAACTTAAAAAGCTATTTTAAAGCCATATGGGGGATTATTTACACGTGAACGCAGTGCCTACGGAATCCAGAAGAGGGCGGTGGATCCCCTGGAGCTGGAGTTGCTAGAACCTGAACTTGGGTCCTCTGCAAGACCACTGGATGCTAAGCCACCTCTCAGGCTTTAGTGGCCATGTTTCCACTAACTGTATCTGCCATATACAAAGGTTACAGACGACTTAAATTTAATAGGAATCTCTGAAAGGCATCACATAATCTATATCTGCCCTTAAACAGAACCATAGCACTATAAAAAGGAGTTTAAAAAAGACAACAGCCAGGGATATCATTCAGTAGTAGAATACTTGCCTGGCATGTTTAGGCCCTGGGTTTAAAAACCTAGTACTGCAAAAATAAAAATGTTTAATTAAAATTCATTTTAAGTCCTGCCTGATGACGGATGCTTCTAATCCCAGTACACAAGACTTTGAACTTTATGGCCTGATGCTATCTTAAAAAAAAAAAAAATGTTTTGGTGGGGAGGTTACAGGGTAGGACCGGGTTTTCAGTAAGAAGGCTACAATAAAATGTGGGACTGTGTGGAAGGGAAGATCATAGTCCTCATCAGAGCTCATGTAAGATGAAAATTATTTTAGAAAGTGTATTTTCTCAGGGAATCTATTCTGAGGTTTGGTTTGTGGTTCCTTCGGTATTTCACATGAAGATGGAATTCATTTCTGAGGTTTGATCGTTAGCACAAGATCAAGTGGTTTGTTTTTCCAAATGAAATTGTAAGTCATCTTATGAGACCCATCCTTCATTGAATAGATGATTCTAGAAATGTGTGTCGTCTTTCTGTCTTTCTCTGTGTATGTCCATGGATGAGTGTGTGCCATGGGAGCAAATGCAGAGGTCAGAGAGTAACTTGTCCAAGTTAGTTCTTGTCTTCCACCATTCAGGTCAGGGAGATCAAACTCAGGTCATGAGGCTAGGCCTCAAGCATCTTCCTTTACCTGCTGAGCCTGGCCTCACTGTTTCTCCTCTCCTCCCCTCCCTCCCCCAACCCTCACCTCTTCTTTCTTCCCTCCCTCCACCTCTTTCTTCTCCCTTTTCTTCTCCTCCTCTTTCTTTCTCTGCCTTCTTTTTTGGACAGTCTCACTCCGTAGATTAGGCTAGACTCAAACCTCTTCCCAAATGTCCCAGCCTCAAGAATTCTGGGATTATAGTGAACTTCTACACAGACTAAGGTTAATTTAATTTTTAAAAAAATTTTCATGTGTGGGGTGTTTTGCCTGCATGTATGTCCGTGTACAACATGTATGTAGTGCCTTCAGAGGCCACAGAAGAGGGCATCCAACCCCCTCATACCTGAGTTACAGTTGTGAGCTACCATGTGGGTGCTGAGAATCAAACCCAGTCTTACATAACAGCCCTTAACCTAACTGCTGAGCCATCTCTCCAGCCCAAGGTTATTTATTTATTTGTTTATTTAGGTTCTTCAAAACAGGGTTTCTCTGTAGCTTTGGAGCCTGTCCTGGAACTCGCTCTACAGACCAGGCTGACCTTGAACTCAGAGATCTCCCTGCATCTGCCTCCCAAGTGCTGGCATCAAAGGCATGCTCTACTATCTCCTGGCTCTCTCTCTCTCTTTCTCTCTCTCTCTTTTAAGAAAGATGATCTCCTATTTTAGTGTGATTCTTTGGCTTTCATTCTTATGAACTGCAACTCTGACCATCATCCTCTATTCTCCCCCACAAGTTTTGAGGTCAATGAGGTATAATAGGAAATATTTTTAGTATACAAAGTAATAATGAACAATATTTCTCATCCTCTGAAGTTTCCATGCAATCTGTTTATTGTCATATTATACTTCTCAGGGTCTGCTTCCATTGCTCCTAGAGAATGTCATACTAGGTAGTGGTGGGGGTGGGACTAGAATCACAAGACCCTTTCAAAAGTGTCTTTTAAGACCTACTTATATTTGTAAAGTATGTGCATAGTTGTATGTCTACATGTGGTCATGTGTATGTGAGTGCAGGTGCCCACAAATGGCAAAAGATGACATCTGATTCCTCAGAACTAGAGTTATAGGTGATGTGAGCCACCTTGCATGGGTACTTGGGAACAAAACTCAGGTCACCTGTAAGCCACCTCTCCAGCCCCTAAAATAATATTTTGTTACATTTGCCAATTTGCTGTGTGTGCGTGTGAGAGCTTACATGTATGTGTGCACACATGGAGGCCAGAGGACAGTTTTCAGGAGTTCTCTTTTCTCCCCGTGGGTCCTGATGCTAGGACTCAGGGCATCAGATTCAGCAGCAAACATCTCTAGCACTGAACCATCTTGTTGGTTCCTATACTTGTAAAACTGGGCATTGTTGACCAAACCTCATCAATCTTGAATTCATTTGTTAAGTTTCATATTTCCCCTTTTTAAAATTACTTTTTGTTTTGGTTTTGTGTATGTGTGGTTACTTTATTTGGGGGGGGGTGGGCATTGCATGTGTTTTATGTGCTTGAACATGAGAGGCCAGAGAAAGATGTCAGGTTTCTTCTTCCTGTATTGCTCCCTTTCTCCTTCCTTCCTTCCTTCCTCCCTCCCTCCTTCCCTCCCTCCCTACCCCCTCCCTCCTTTCCTTTCCTAAGACAGTGCACCTCTCTGAAACTCATGATTCTGGTTAGGCTGGCTGACCAGCCAGCTCCGGGATCTACCTGTCTCCACAGGTAGTTGTGGCCATGCCCAGCTCCTACAGAAGTGTTGGAGTTTTGGATTCAGGTCCTTTTGTTTTCATAGCAAGTGCTCTTACCCACTGAACCATCACTCTAGCTCTTTGGTTTTTCAAGACAAGTTTTCTCTGTGTAGCCTTGGCTGTCCTAGAACTCACTCTGTAGATCAGGCTGGTCTCAAACTCATAGAAATATGCCTGTCTCTGCCTCTCAAGTGCTGAGATCAAAGGTGTGCGCCACCACCACCTGGCTCTTTGAGGGGAGAAGGGTTGATTTTTTGCTTGTATGTTGAGAAAGGGTCTCGTGTAGCCCGGGTTGGCCTTGAATTCTCTATGTAGCTGAGGATGACCTTAAACATTTAATTCTCTGCACCTCTGAGCTTACAGGCATGTGCTACTACACTCAATGTTGCTGCTTTGCAGCTTTTGAATTGGCCTCCATTTGTTCTATTCTGACTTGGTCACCTTCGAGCCAAAACCAGCTGGCTTTGACTGTTGGGCATGAAACCACAAGCAAGGAGCTTACTCTGAGGTGGTTTGTGGGATTGTGAACCTTTACCAAAATAATAAACATAAGAAAATATCTAGGGACAGTGGGTGTGACTCAGTGGTAGGACATTTGCTTAGCATGTTGTGGGCTGTTGGTTTGATACCAGCACTGCAAGAAAAGGAAAGGAAAGAAAAGGGGTAAAGAGAGAAGGTGAAGGAAGAGTGAGAGAAAGGAAGAACAGGAGAATAAGGAGTAAACCAGTGGCTGTCACACAAATAGCTGGCTGTCAAGCAGGACACATTTTCCTTACAAATTAGGCTACTGAGAGCAGCTTTTGTTTTCTTCATCTACTAAAAATTAAATGTAAATATATCATCTTCCCTTCCTTCTCCTGCCTACAGTTTCTCCCCTTCCCATGCTCTTCTTTGCTCCCTTCCAAATTCATGCCTCCAATTATTATTGTCACACACACACACACACACACCAACACACACACACACACACACACACGTTTGTATTACCTTCAGGATCCTTTTAATGTTTCTCGAGTGTATGTGAATTCATGGTGACCACTTGGTACTGGATAACCAATTAGTGGGCTCATCCCTGGGGAAGACTATTTCTCCCAATCTTAGCATTTTTAGTTACTTTCAATTCTTTATCTAGGGGTGGGGCCCTGTGAGATTTCCCCCTTCTACTTTTGCAGGTCTGTTGTTGTTGGTGGTGGTGTTCAGATCTTGATTAGACAGCCATATTGTTGAGGTATCATGGGTGTAGCGTCTTTGTCATCTCACAGCAAACTTAAGCTTTTATTGTCCTTTTCCAATAAATGTCTCAGTATATTTTGTTTTTATATTGCAGGGACCAGATAGCACCTATTCATTAATGATTTTGAGAGGGATTGAATCTAGGCCCTCATTCTCGT